TTCAAATGACATGTCATTATGTCTAAAAGATGAACTTAGGTGTGGGCTTTTCTTTCGAGGCGCACTACTCTCGAGAGGAAGTGTAGAAAAGTTTATTTATTCCTGTACCATATTTGGATATTACTGTAGTTAGTAGGCTGTAATTATGTAAATTGCCTTCTCTCCTAATTTAGGAGATTTTTTTCCTTTCTCCCTCACCCGGTTGTACTATAAACTGAGATGTATAGTTATTTTTTAATACAAGATATACAAAAAATTATTTTTTGTTTTCATCGTTCATTAACAAGCCTTCCATGCAATCAATTGCACAATATCGCTATCCTAGTTTTCACCTAATATATGAGATCCAACATCATATGGACAGCATTCCTAGAATCAAAGTTGTCTTCCATCATCTTGGAAAATGCATAGGTCCGCTCATAAGGTCATACTAATTAATTGATATCCTAAACTACATCAAGTTAGCATTAGTTTTTATGACTTGCACATTGGACAGAATTAAAGTTCATTTGTGCAGTCATCCCATAACATCAATCTGTTTGGGTCAGTCAATCTTGTGATCATCCTTTTTAAACCCTCAGTACATGAAAGAAGAAGGATGTTCATTTGTTTTCTCAATGCAAAAACCTAATTACCGTGAAGGGTCACCACAAAAAATTAAGAAAAATAGATAAATAAAGAAAAAATATTGGAGGAAAGACCACTTATACACTCGTGGAGGAATTGGTATGAATACAATCACCCTTGCCATTGTAAATTCACACAATTATACTAGGAATCATTCTGAAATCAACTTGATATGAATAGCCATATTTTTCATTAAAATAAGGATGTATCACTTTCAGAAGAACAAATACATACATAAGGCCTGAGCTGCAGTAAGTCTGGCACGAGGATCTTTCACCAGTAACTTCTTCACAAAATCTTTAGCTGCATTGCTTGTGCTTGGCCATGGTTTTCGCCGAAAGTCAGGCTTGTTTCTTAGAACCTATAAGTATCATATAAACAGTTATAACCCATGAATAACAATTTATGTGAAATTTAAATATGCTCATATCCAAAAATGTAAATGACATACAAATAATGAGGACTTATCAAAATACTTAAAAGGAGAGAGTACAAAAGTTCTTTTATGATGAAGATAAAACTTAATGCCAAGACTTTTTCATTTATTTGTTCCTTTTTATCTGAGGTTGAGCAAAAGCAAGCCTCTTATCATGACATGGAACTCAATTCTGAAGTCCAGAGAAAAGTTATCCATTAGTTCAAACTTGTGAACCAAGAATAAACTGCAGTACCAACCTCTTTAAATATGCCATCCTCAGTTTTGTCCCAAAAGGGACGCCGGCCACAGAGCAAAATGTAAGTAATTACACCAATACTCCACACATCAGATTCAGGGCCTGACTTACGCTTCAACACCTCTGGAGCTACATAGTATGCACTCCCAACAATATCTTGGAATTTCTTTCCTGCATCCAAATTAAATAATGTGTTCATAATAAATGAGAAACAAATGAATTTTTTTAATAAAATAACAATTGGCAGGTGCATGAAGACTGTGATAACAGCTTAGCCAAGTCATTCAGATGACTGAGTAGTGTGGTGCATAAAAATAAAGACATATCTACGTCCACGTGCATTAACCTTGAAAACATGCAATTTTTATTGGACTTGAAAATTTGAAGTTATGCAGGCATAAAAATTCCAAAATTTCAGAAATAAGTTTAAATTGGTTAGCTAACAAATAACAAAACTAAACATATGATTACCTGGTCTAATGAAGTCTGAAAGACCAAAATCTGTAGCCTTCAGTGGCGAATCCTCTTTTGGTGACTTAAATAGAAAATTCTACAGAGGAAAAATATGTGTGAACATCAAGCACCATATTCCCTTCAAGTATAACGACAATCTCTAACTCTCTAAGCAAACCTCTGGCTTCATGTCACGGTGTACTAAACCATGTAAATGACACTGAGCTGCAACTTTTAGCATTTGCCTTACAATGATTGCTGCATCTTTCTCTGTGTAACGGCTGTCCTTTCTGATTAGAGGAAATCATAGGTAAGCCCTGGAATATTACTTCTTAATTTGAAAGAATATGCATAGCATACAACATGCCATGCAGCCTACAAGTGCTATTAAACGGAAAAATGGGGTATGCTTACTTTGACAAAATGCGGTCCAGCAATTCACCACCCTCGCATAACCTAAATAGACCAACATTGGGAACAATTCATTCACATCATGTTCAATTCCACAACTCATTGCAGGTGGGGAGGGGATTTTGAGAGACAAAATGGACCTTTGAAAAACTTACTCCATTACTATGTACACAAAAGAATCATCCTCAAATGAGTTATGGAACTGAACCACATTCTCATGACCAGCTAAAGCTTTCAATATCTTGACTTCTCGCTTGACATCCTCAACAGCAATGGGAAGAACCATCTGCCATAAATGCAGGACTACAACCATAAGTCTGAAATTTCTACTTCAAAGGAAATTTAAGTCAGCGTATAGTTTCCAAGTAAATGCACAGCTGTAAGAAAAAGTGAAAAGCACATCCATTTTGGAACTTCTTTGCTTGACATATCCTACCAATGAGCCTTCTCATAAAAACTAGGTAACAAAGGGCTATGCACATATTTATGATAATTACTGCATTTCTTTTACATTTGGAAAAGTTTAATTGTTAGCTAGTATATTCGAGAGCTAAAACTTTATACCCTTTAATTAATTATCCCTACCACTTTTGCAAAGACAGTTTCCCATCCTACACAAATATAGCACAACAGATAGCAGAATTACTGGCACAGCTCAAGGAATTTGAGACATTTCTACAAGTCATCAAAAAAATTGCTTAAAAGATCCAAAAACCGAAGTAAGACCTTATATATACTGAAGGAGCAGCAACTTTTGTTAGTTATAAGAAACGATATCAAGCAAATTTGGACATGCGAGTTTACTTAATTAAACCAACAGATTCGCCTAATAAGAATAAAGTAGAATATCAAAAGAAGGATACTAC